CCCCCCCCCCCCCCCCCCCCCCCCCCCCCCCCCAAATAATTATTTATTTAGGTTTCTAACATACTCTCAGAGACCTTTATCACTGCCTATTGCATGGTTCAGAGATCAGTAAAACACAGCTTTTCCTTTTCAGAAACCATGAAGGTGGCAAGATCTTAGAATCTTCCAGCTATTTTATTCTACTGTGCTAGTACTTCAGCTAATTGCTATGAAGTTTTTGTTTTGCAACTACTTTGTGTAGTTAAGCATCAACAGTGTGCTTGCTATATTTGTTAGTTCAAATCTCAAGTAGTGGCAGTCGATACATACATCACTCCCTGAAGTAAAATACTCTGTAAATTACTTCATTCTAAATAGTAAACTTTAGCACTTGTTATGTAGCCAGTGAGATCTTTGTTGTGAGTTTTAGAGCTGTTAGTAGTTATTTTTTTTGAGAGACCACAGAGAATGTTTCATGATGATGTTTTAGAAAAACTGGGAAACAAACAAATGTAGCAATTCAGTTATGAGTGGAGCGGGGAAAGGACCTTCTTATTTACCTTCCCTCTTTGCTTAAGTTATGCTGTTTCCCTGATAATTGCATAAGTGAACCGTTCTTAAGAATCTAGAAGACTGTGAATTGATGAGTGATAGTTTAGTAAGAAAAATCACATCAGGCTATCTTTTGACAGCGTAACAGACCTTGTGAACTGAGAAAAATCATCTATCTTGATAACATCTGTCATGTTGCATCTATCAAAAGCCCAGATTTTGGGCTGTTCCTCTATGAGGCTTAATAAGCTAGCTAAGGAAAACGTGAATAGAGATTAAAAGGTGATGAGTGTGTAGCTGGCTGGAAGTATTTATTCTTAATTACTTCTGGCTTGGGGGGAAAAGCATGAAAAAACTGGAAGGGATCCAACAAAATCTAATGTTGGGTTATTTTTGAGCTCTATCTTGGGGCTTGAAACTGGTGGTTTCAAGTGTAGATTATCGGTGTTTTTTAAGTTTCTTCTGCTTTGCTTTGTTTTTCTGTTCTGGTGGTAATCCACTGAAGAATGATTTTGTGGTGGTTTTTTTTTCCCTATGCGAAGTCTTGTCAAATCTGTAGAGACCAAATGAAACTTTACTTTTAAATAAAAATGAAAATATTTTTTGAAACTAAACCTAGCTAAACCTATTTTTTTTTTTTTCAACCATAAAACACATCTAATCTGAGAATTCTTCTTTTATCTGTCATTTCTCAATAAAAGACTGAGACATAGCTACCCTCATAAGATCTCCTGTCATTGTTTCTCAGTATGAAGTATCTAGTTAGATACTTGGTATCATCTGGCTTTATTAATAACTTTATAAACTTGGACATAATTAATACCTGTGAGTCCTTCAAGCACTTCTGCACATGTTTACTACTAAATGCTTACAACCAAGGAAATTACTATAGAGTGGAATTTATTCTCAGTACTTCCATTAGCAGATGAATGCACCATAAAAGGTGCATGGCTGTCTGCTGTGTATTCAAGCAGCATCTGTTTGGGTCTCACAAGGTCTGATTATAATTGTCAGGTGAAGCATCATATTCTCTTTTCCGTTGTATTTACTACATATAAAAACAATTGTCATCTGTTACACACATTTAAACCTTTGGTGTTCTAGAGATGCATAAAAGACATAGTCTGTATCTCTCTGTTCTGTTAATTCTGCAAGATGTAAAACAATTTTATCCAAGGCAATCCTGAAGACTGAATTGTCAGTTCTAGAATATGTGAAAGTCTGCTGTTGCCACAGTGAGCCTGAACAATCATAATTTAGCTTCTTAGAGAAGTTAGTTAGAGCTGTGGCATGTCTGTGAGAAGCAGTGAACATGGAATTCCTTGGTAACATTTGCAGTGTTCCTATCAGGCAGCTGTGTTTCACAGGAAGCAGGCATTTATACTCCATAGTATTTTTATACTGTGCCATATTATAACACCCCATTTCCTTACAAAAGCTCATTATTTAACAAATCATAGTTTTACCAAAGAAATAACTTGTTTTCAAGCTCACAACTTCCAACAAAGGAAAACTCTATATCTCTAGCTTTGTTCTACTTTTAAAATTGTTGTAATGTAAGTTTGGCCATTCTTAATGTTTAGTTGCATGAAGAGGGTAACCAAGTAACTGGACTAAACTGTTGTCTTTAGCTTTGAGGAACATTCCAATGGAATGGTTTTGCTAAAGTAGCAAAGCTAGTGTCTTTATTTTGTTCATTAGGTGCAATTACTTAAAATATATATATAAAAAAATCATATTTACAATGTTTATATAGGATTTTCTTTTAACCCCTCTTAGGCCAACCTATGATGATATGCCAGTCCCTGTCACTCCAGTGTCTGCCAGGATTGCTTCTTCAGGAGAGGAGGAGAAAAAGAAGAATAGAGGCAGACAGGTGACTTCCAGCAAAGACCAGGAGTCCGTCGACAATGTGCGCTCTTCTGCTCCATACCTATCTCATGAGCACACAAAGGAAACTTCTGTAACGCAGACATTTACTCAAAAATTAGAAACTGAAAAGGAACGTGTTACAGGAACATCCCGGGTGTCTATGGGCAATTGTAGCAATGAGAAATGCAGTGTCCTCAAAGATGCTCAAATTGGAAATCATAGCCATGAAGGCCAGTTTATGGCTGTGAGCCCAGTACCTCAACATTTTTCTGTCAGTACATTAGTTCATAGTTCTTCTGTTAATCGTAAAATAGAAAAAAATATTAAGACTTCATCATCATCATCATCAAATCGTATTCTGCATAGTGGATGTGATAACACAGGAATGGAGGTATGCATTAGGAATGAGTTGAAGCCTGCTCTGGCACTGGTTCACCCAAAATGCCCTTCAGTTTTGCATCAGAATCCTGTGTGCAGCCACAGGAATACTTTACATGTTACCTCAGGTCAACCTCTTTTAACACGAGATGGTTTACAAACTCAGGATGAAACTTTGGTGTCTGATTTCCGTCTCAGGGATACTGTGGGGATCAGCAGCACCCTAGGTCTTGGGACTTCCCCACCACTAGCAAGATGCAAAAATGTGAAGATGAACAGAGGGGATGCAAGTTCAGTGGATGAAACAATTGAAAACGTTATTCTGAAATATTGCCATGGAACTGCATATGAAGAACTTCATTTCAAAGAGGAGAATAATCTCTGTTTAACTTTTTCATCACTTCTGGATCATGCTGATTTAGAGGGCTCTGAAATGAGTTTTGACTGTGATGCACCTGTTCAGTCGGGAACAGACTTACCCAAGGCAGCTATAAAAGATATAGAATTGCTAAAAGAGGTCCAAATAAGTCTGCAAGATAAAGACTATGGAACACAGCTCTCTTCTGTTTTAAAAAGTGAGTCAGTGAAGCAAACAGAAACAGTGAAACAGAACATAGTAGTTCATCCTGAAGAAGCAGTTCTTCCAGCTCTGCCTCATGTGCCTCCTTCTTTTGTGGGAAAGACTTGGTCTCAGATAATGTACGAAGATGATATAAAAATTGAAGAACTTGTGCGTGATTTCAGGGAAGGTCGTTTTCGCTGCTACTTTGACAGTGAATCCTCAGCCAACTGTACAGGAAAGAGAATGAAGAAAAAAAAGCAGAGAGACGAAAAAAGGAACAATCCTGCTGAGGGTAATAGAATAGAAACTGCATCAGTTAAAGCACTACCAGAGTTTAATGATGCTTTAAGTGGTGGCTTTGATTTTGATAACCCATCTTTAGCTTCAGATAGGCTATGCAACCCGCAAATTCTTAAAACACCTAGGAAAAGGACATGGCGCCTAGCTTCAAGATGTCAGGTGGTTAAAGTTAGCCATGGCACCCAAACAAGTCTATTGAACTACCCTGTAACAAAAAGAAAAATGACAAGAAGAGAATCGGATCCATCTGATCAAAAAGCAAGCATTATATGGCCAGAAAATGAAAAGACTCCAAACATGAAAACTAGACTCTGTGCCCTTAAACTTCCTGAGTCCTATAGCAAGATTATGAGCCCTGTGCAGCCCAAGACAGTGGTGTATGTACTTTCGTGTCCAGAGATGAAACAGTGTAAAGGTAAACCTGTAGATATTCCCAAAATGAGGAAAAATCGTAATTCTACAGATAGCAAGGACTCTGTAAGGTATAAATACAAACAGTGTTCTTTCAAGTATTATGACCCACTGACAAACAGAATTCTGAAAATGCCTCCTAAGGGTTTAGTTGGGGAAAAGGCCAAAAAGCCTTCTCACGTTCGACAGCTATTCAGAAGTCTCAGCTTTGATACAAACATGAGGAAATTAGCTGATGCACAGAGAGAAGGCACACCAACAAAGTCCTTCAATCGGTCAGACTTCTATAGCTCACCTTCAGCAATTTGTCTGCCAGAGTCAGCTAAAGGGAATGATACGCTATCAAGTCAAAAAGCAGATGGATCTTCAGTTTCCACAGAAAGAACAGATTGTCTGGTATCTAGTCACTCTGAGAACTCTTTTAAACAGCTGGTCATTTCACCTTTGAGTTCTCACCAGTCTGTTGTTGAAGGAGATGGGAGATTAACTCCGTTTAACAGTAGAGTTACCAAAACTCCTTTGACCTCCATCAGGGGTGATCGATTAGAGAGAGAGAACCCAAAAGCAATATGGAAGAGAAAAGAAAGCACTAATAAAGAACCTTTTTTTTCCAAAAAAGCTGCAGGAGCTATGTCTGTCAGATGTGCTGTTGCGAGGAGAGGAAACAGAGTAACAACAGGCAAACAAACTTCCAGAACTAAAAAGCAACAAAAAGAGGGTATGAGAAGTAAACTTTCTCCTTGTGCCCAGAGATCGTCAGCGTTCTCCATTCACAGGCACCAAACAAGGAAAAATACAGTGGGAAAACATCTTAAGAAAGAAAAACCCGATGCTAAAAAATTAAATGTGAGGAGGAAGTCAAAAAGGACTTTTCTGAACTCAACAGTCACAAGTATTCCTGAGAAGAGACAGAAAGGCACATCGGGATCTTTTCCCAAGAAGCCAGAGCGAGCTTCTTCCAAAGTCAGAAGCTGGGAAGTAAGTGGAGATCGGGGTCACCCTAGCACTGTGAACCGACCCTCAAGAAGAACTTCTGCTGTACCATTACTTAGAAACTGTATTGTTCTACCAGGTGAGAGCTAGCCACCAAAACAACTTTTTTTTTTTTTTTAAATAGCCAGCACCTGGAAAAGGAAAGGGAACAAATGGAGGCCATAGACAAAGCAGTTGAAGTGCTAGAGCTGCAGAAAGTACAGAGCCAGTCTAATGTGAAACAGGTACAACTTTAAACTCTTGTTCCTGGTATATGGGACGTTATATATTGCACTGTTCTACTGTGTAAAGCTGCAGAAGTTGTGCATTTGAGTTTAAAGCACTTAGATAGAACCCTATTTACTAGGCTTCACCTGTGCATCAAAACAAATGGGCTTGAATAGTATGTTGTTTTAATGGGATTATCAGTGCATAATAGTGCACTATAATCGGGTAAATTAGAAGCTGTATTAATTAATTGTGCCTACTCTCATTTTTTTCCACATAATTCTTAAAGTGCAAAAAAATAATTCTGTTATACTAGAAATTAAATTAAGATATATTAATCTGGGGTGAATTCTGTGTTTGTATTTTGTGTTTGTATATATGCACATCTTGTTCAACACATAATATGGTATATATTTGCCTAATGAGTGGTATTGAGATTAATATAGTATGATAGAATTCAGATCAGTGCTTTTTTGAAATGAAATAGAACCGTTCTTGGTTTTATATTGATCCTTTTTCCTGAAATCATGTCCAAATTAGTTATTTTGGACAAAAAGTCACTGTGGGCTGTTATCTAGCAATAATGGACCATCCTGGTAAGGAAGTATGTCTCTCCTGGTTACCGTGGTGGTGGTGATGGTTATACTGAATTCTCAAATTCTGAAAGAAATGTAAGTTTAATGTTTTCTTCATTCTCTTTTGTTCTTTTTTTTTAAAAAAAAAAAACACAGCTCATTGGTAAAGTTCGTAGGTTAATTTGACAGTCCTTAGGGAGGTGATAGAAATGTTATAATACAGACAAGTAACAATGAGTTCTTGTAGTGTTTCAACATTAAATTTGAGACCCTGTGCTTTCTTTGGATTTTAATAGAGCGTACTGTTGGTTACAATTTTGTGTACTGTAGTTCAAACTTTATTTTAAATAGTCAGTACAGTATTGAAATAAAACAAACCTGAAGCAGCATCCAATGTGTTAAAGTTAAAATATCTGCTTAAAACAGATATTTACATAAGCTGAATTTAAAAATAAAAATGAAATATTCCATAATAATTCTTATTAGGCAGTTGATGCTTTATGACTTTGTTGGGAAAGAAGTCTAATATTCTGTGGTTTTGGTTGTATTTGTTTTTGAGTTTGTTTTGTTTTGGTTTCTTTGTTGTTTTACTTTGGTTTTGTTTTGGAGTTTTTTATTTGCTTTTGGTTTTTATGATGACAGCTTATTTGATTAAAAAGTGTTTAGGAAACAGAAACCCCAGTGCTGAAATTGTTTGTACACTATAAAATCAATTTCCATTTTTCATTTGTCTTAAGTTTTAAGCGGAGAATTGAGAAATGAGTTTGGGCTCATTTGTACATCTGCAGTTCGATGCATTATATAATGTATCCTATTGTAAAAGTCTTTGTAAATTCTATACTTGTACAGTATATCTTTTTTAGATAAATAAGAATAGCTTATGAAAGACCCTGCTGACTCTGCAATTGCACACCGTACCTCCTGTGCATTCCTTCCCTCCAAACCAAAACCTATTCTTGGTTAACTTTCTGAAGTGTCAAGGGGCACTAGTTTGTATTGAGATAAAGCTGCACTTTGAACTGTTGTATTTTTAAATGAAATGTCTGAAAGAAATGTAAAAGCTGTCATCATAAACTACTCATTGTTAAAAATATGTATCAAAAAACTCCCCAAAATATATATACATGCATATTTCCCAGCTTAAATAAAAGATGTGCGTGTACTTAAGCCAGCTGGAAACTAAGTTCTTTTGCAAGTCAAATATAGTCTGACTTTTTAAAATTTTTCTTTTAGTTTTGAAATAAAAGTTGATTTTTATGGGTGAGTTTTCCAATGATTGTCAGTTGACAAAGAATCTTATGACTGTATTACAAGTCACTGGAAAATAAAGGGTTATAATATGAGTTTTTATAGTCCTCTGAACTAATTGTGCCTGTATAATTTAATATTTTGTCTAATATAAAACTGATTTTTTTAAAGCAAAATTTTAATGGAATGGTTTTTATAGAAAGGCTAATTTTTAGAATAAAGTTTTAAAGCTTAAAAAAGATTTATAAGAATAAGTTCGTTTTAAAGCAAAGCTTTAAATTAACTATATATAAGTCCTATTCTAACATATTTTTATGATTCAAGAATGTTTTCCTAGCTGACTTCGTCAGTCTCACTTTTCATGCTATTGTACTCATGAAAAATATGGATTGTTTTGTTTGTGAATAAGGTTTTATGCACATTCTACTTTAAAATTGCTAGTGTATGTTTGTTTACACTCAAAAATACTGTTTTCCATACTCATTTATTGCAAGCTTGTGTTTGTCTAGCATGCAAATTTCCTTTGAGTAATAAAATACATTGAGGACTACAGAATGGCTAATTTTTTAGCATGACTTTTTCTATTCCAAATAATATATTTCTTTTCTAGGTGTGATTTAATTTTTTTTTTTTAACATCATAATTAAATGTATAAGAAGATATATACTTAATTTTTTAAAACATCTATCAAATCTAACAATGTTTATTAAAGAAAACAAATCTGGTATAAATTTGGAAATACTTCTGTGGTTGACAGTGTAAAAAGATTTGTTATGTAGTTCAGATATTTCTGTTTGAAAACCTCTTCTGTGAATGTTCAGTGGCTACTAGGGAAGAAGGGAAATTGTGGTTTGAGAAGCAATTGTAGAAATTGCCTTGGAAAGAGAATTGAAGAAGATGCACTCAAAATGAACAGGAAGGAAAAGAAGAGACGTTTTTTCTGAAGTCTTTACTTTAAAAAGTAGTTTTTTGCTGGTATAGATTCCGCTACCATTGTTGAATACCACATTGTTCAGTAGCAGCATTGCTGAAACTTCAGAACATGGTTGTGGAGATTTCAGCAATGGAAAATGTGTGTTGAAATACTTTTTCACTGAAACTGATGGGAGAGATTTTTGGTTTGGTGCTTTTAATAACATTAATGGATAAAGGAGTTTGTCGGTATATTTGCACTTACACACGTTCAAAAGCAAGTAAAGGTGACTCGATGATGAGCAAAGTCATGCTGTTAGAATCTAATTGGTGGCAGTTAGATACTGAATATTTTATGGTGGCTGAAAAAAAAAGTTTGCATGTCATTTCAACCTACTATGTGGTTGTGCTTATTTTTAATACATTTCATAATTTTGAAACTATGGAAGTACTCATTCAGCTTCTTAAAATAATCTCATTCTAAGCAGCTTGATTTTTACTTTTAGTATTGCACATCTCAATTGTGAACTATTTTCTTACTGTGCTAATTAAACAGTATTAAGACCCCTCCCAAAATTTCAATGTCTGATTCATGCACTTAGCAGTTCTTCAGTTGTTTTTCTGATTGACTGTAGGGGAATGGCTAGGTCAGGGCTTGAAGTGGTGATTGAGCACCTGGTGAAGGGGTGTGTCTGGCCCAGGGACACAGGCAGATTGTTTGCACCTGTGCTCCCCAGCTGACCAGGAGGGTTGGGCACAGGTGGAGCCCCTGGGCTCATATAAGGGCCAGCCAGTGAAGGAGAGCATCGCTTGGACCTGGGCTGCTGCTAAGGAGTGCTGCACAGCCAGAGAACCCCTTCACCAGCTGGGTGAGTGCTATTCTTCTTTCTGAACAGGACTATTGGTCTATTTGTGAACACTTAGTCTGGTATCACCAAGAATCTGTCAGAAGCGATTTTGCTTCTTTGTGAGCAGAACACTCATGTCTTAGTTTTCTAGTTCTTTTTGTTGTTTGCATCTGATGTTTATGTAGTAGTATCAAAATGCATCTCTCTGGAACTCAAATATAGATATTTAGTTGTATTTGTAAGACTGACCTAGTGTGAAATCATGTTTAAGTTTCATGCTGAATTTGTGCCCAAGTAAGGGCGCAATAGGTTTCATGTTCTCACAATTGGTAGCTTTTGAAACATTCTTGCCTGATGTCTCTTTAATCCCTTTCTTTACTGCCTGTGTTCATTTGACACAATGTGTTTTTGTAATTGTGTGTTGATGTTAGAAGTATTTACAGTCATATTGTTAGATGTTCTTGCTCTGTATCCTCAACTTATTTGATGTCAGATTTATCGTTTCCCTATCATTTCTCAGCTATCATTTGGGTGTGTTTTGTTTTGTGTTTACATTGTGGAGAGCTAAACTATAAAACAGAGTATTTTATTTGGAAATAAATTAGTGAGAGGTAATGGAAGTGGATGATAACCTTATCTGAAGCATTGAGGACAGGTTCATCTTTGTACTTCTCTACTTGGTATTCTCCTTCCTTTACTGAGTAGTTTTAGAAGGGGGTGGGTTTATGAATCTTAACTTCATCAGCTGTCTTCCTTTTTCTTTCATCTAGGGTAAATCTGTTTGAGAATTGAATAATCTGAATTCATATTTATTCTGTAAATAGAAAATACTTTCAACTCTTAATGTTTTGGGGGCAGTTTAAAAAAAACCTAAGATTTACATCATTTGCTAATGTAATTAAAGTCCAGTTGTTTTTATCACTAATGACTTTGTGTTATATGAAGCATCCCAGACAATATGTTTTGGAAAACTTTGTAGTGCGTAAATCTGAGTGTGCCTAGAAAGTGAGGTTTTGTTCGTTGTCTGTTTAGGTTTAACAGTTACAAAGTTATTCGTTCCTTCACCAGAACAAATCCTGATTTTTTTCTTTCTTATTTAAATAAAGAAAAAATTTGTATGTCATGTAGTCTCTTTATTTTGGAAGTAGAATTTAGCTTGAAACAAGTTGCTATGATTTGTTATGGAGAGAACACTGCTAAATGTTTTGGTGGTCTTTATTTTGTTTTATTTTACTTTTAAAAAGTTTATTTTATTTAGTGTTGGCTTAATAAATAAGGGAAGTAGTGGCCAAAAATACCATCATGTTGAGTAGTTTTGAGTTTTTGAGGACTTTAAGTATGTTTCTTCTTGAATAGAACATCAGCATTGTATTCTGTTTCCACTGAACAGTAGAATACCTTGTGTTGTCATATGCTGTTTTGTAACAGTGATGCATGCATGTAGTTCAGTTTGAATTAATAAATGGTTGAAAAGCACAGGCATGTTTCTTGAGGCCTTAAGTCATAGAATTTCAGGGTATACTTTGCTGGTTTCAATTCATTGTTAAAGATTGTCGTGCTTTTTCTTGGCTGAATTAAGTTATCTAGATGCATGCTATTATGCTGTCAAATAGTGCTTCGTTACATGTATAGGATGAGGTTCAACTATCTAAATGTGGAGCTACAACCATCATGCTAATTTTAAGTCTGGTGATTGCATCCTTCATGGGATGTGTAAGCAATTCATGAAATGCTTATAGAGTGTCAAGTATGACAACAATCCAGTTTGAAGGAATATTTGAGAATTATGATGAACTTGGTTTTGGTTTCATTGGAGTCATTAGTGGTTTAACATACAAAATTGTTTCTTTGGCTCTGGAAGTTGTAAAGATTTTCTTGAAGTGTTTTTGATGAGATGTGATCACTCACTGTAGCATGTATTAGTTGTCAGTGATTTTTTTTAAATCCACGCTTTCTCTGTTGAAGTTCCTCCCTTATGGAATACTGAAAAGCAGTTCTTCCCAGATACTAGCATTTGCGAATAGGCTTTTTTTAATCTCTTGCATCTTAAAAGATATACTTTAACATGTTAGAGCCACTCAGGTTTCCGTGTTTACTGTGTCATCCTGCATTGATGTTGGCACTGCTGCACTGAAAATACTGGTTATGCTCTACCTTAGTCATTATTAACATTGAGTAAATAAGTTGCAGAATCAAACTTAATCATGTAAGCTTGTGCATGGCGGTACCTGCTGGTCTGGAGATTGTGCTGTAAGAACTAACAGCGAAGAGGATAGGCTTATAATCCTCAGGACACGTTTCATCCTTTATGGATGTGATGTGCATGCATGACTTGCTTTTTTGAGATTAGAGGTAGAAGTGAGGAGTAGAACAGTTGTAAGAGATGAGATAGGAATGAAACCAATGATAATCAGTATTTTTACTTAAAAAATAATAATAATATTTATATTTGTTTTGCCTGAACCTTTGCAAACAACTGTCAAAATCCACTGAATTTCTGTGATAGTTCATGTTCCCTCATTCTTTCTCCCGGCATGTTACATTTATTTGCTTAAAGCATGGATGGTATTTCTCTTTTATTTTACTTCTGGTCCTTTCGGCAACCGTTTACAGGGGAGAAAGGAGTATAACAAAGGTTGCACACCCATTTCTTTTAGAAGAAAGCAGTTAATAAGTTCTAAGGCAGTATGTGGCTACTGGCAGGAATTTCCAAACGGTGGAAGCAGCTCTGTTAAAATTCTGAGTAGTGACCAATCACTTTTCAATCATTTCTTTACTTTTCAATAGCATTAGACTCAACCTTTGTACTATTAAAAGGAAACAGACTGAGCTTTTTGTAAAAGGTATTTCATGTCTTTAGATTTCTGAATGTCTAATATTTTCATTCTCCCTTTTGTTTTAGCAAATTGTCGTTTCTTAAGTTATTGCCAACGTTTTGCTGTTCTGGGTTGAATTTGGTGCAGGATAAAGTTGGAGTCAGAGTCTGTATTTTCACCTACTAGTTAGTTAATGTTCATACCACACAAGAACACATAAGTGTTCAATATTATCCAGACTTATCTTCAGTATTCTTTCTTTAGATGTTGGAGTTCTATGTTTCTTTTGAAATGTGTTGGTAAGTACAGGTCCTTTTTTTTTTTTTTAAGAGGTTAAGAGATCATACAGTAACAGAAAATAATACAGAACTGAAAATAACTTTTACTTCCAAGTTTACAGACAATTCTGCAACAAAGATTAGGTTAGTATTCATTTTTTCCTGTGCTTTTTCTCCCTCACAGTCCTCCCTTTTTTTCAAAGAATTCCATCTGTGATGCAGAGTTCTTCATCTTTATTTTCTTAGAGATTAGGGTGTGATTAGTGTCATTTGACTTTATCGCATATGTAGCAATTACACAATAAGCTATTGCTTATGTCTTCATACATCTCTGCATTGTCAAGAACATTTTAAAAGAAGGCCAAGTATCCACATGTGCTTCTAGTGCTTATGTCTTGTTCTGTTGGCTACCGCATCCTTTTCAGTTCTCCTGTGCAGCCAGGGTCAAGTCCTCTGTTTCCCCTTATTTTGTGAAACTTTAGAGCATGTTAGAAAACAAATTTTAATTCACAGAAAAGAATTGGTTAAAAATTCTTATTCTTTTTTTTTCTTCATAAGACCCACATTCTTAAAGGGGGAAGAAACACGGATTGTGCTTTTTATATGTCAAAAATGTTTGTCATTAAATCCGACAGCTGTATTTTGGTAAGCCTTCTGTTCCCATCATCTCTTTGAGATTCACAGAACCATTTGTTTTTGCCTGAGATTTTTGTTTTGGGTTGCTTTGCCTTATGTCTAATATTTTGTTCTAACTGGCTTTGTGTTAACTAATGAAATTTTGCAAATGCAGTGCTCAGGGTAACTCACTGTGGCTTCTTTCTTTGAGGCTTGTTTTGAGCTTTGAGAGCTTTTAAAATGATTTCTGTATTTACTTGTTTTTTTGTTTTGTTTTGTTTTTTTTTATACAGTCAATTTACAATTTCCTTTGAAAAGAAACTATATTTTGACTTTCTGCTAATCAGATTAAATAGCTTCTGATGAGAATGGTTTGCGGAAGGTGGTTTAAAACAGAATTCCTTCACAGACTTGTGCTGCCATTGCTTTCTCCAAAGCAGATTGGTACAGTGGTGCAAAAAGGCAAGCTGCGTTAAGCAGCACCAGTGATATCTACTTCAGTAGCTAGGGATGTAAATAAAAGTGCTATAGAAGAGCTGTGCCAGTAATACTGGACAGGGCAGTGCATTTTCCATTGCATTCTTCTAAATCTGTTATGAGCAAAAACTAGATAAATTTCTGTTGGGTAGCTGAATTTACATTCACAGTGTGTAATTGTATTGTCTGTCTTGATATATTTAAATTTACAATGGGGACTTGTTTTCATTTTCTTGTTAGTGTATGGTGGCATGTTGATATCATCAGTTCAAGTTCTTGGTCTGTCCTTGGTAGGAAGATAATGCTGTCTTTCTGCTTTGTAAATATGTTAATTTATCTCAACTTTATAATGGAAAAGAATTGATGTTTTTTAGAAAGCTTGCTTGTGAATCCATTGTCATCATACTGTATGTTTTTTACCAAGTTCTTGAATTATATCTAGAGAGGGGGGAAGGACATAACTTCCAGCTCACGCATACTCCTCTGGAAATTTTATGCGAAGTATTAAAGTTGTGGATTTGTCTTGTCGATCCAAATGGTCAGTCTGTATGTGGATGTGTAAGGACTGGGTGGTGAAATTCAGTCCAGGTTTATAACCTTATGTTTAATTTTGTTTCATGTTTCTAATTCTTCAAAGCAGCCTATCACTCATTACCATTTCTCACATTTGTGCTTTCAAGAGAAGAGCATGTTTTTGTTTCTAAATGATGAATTCTGGAGTATTTACATACTATATGTTGTTGCTTTTTGCTTGATTTTTAAATTTTTGAGTAAATATTCAAACTTAATGCTGATGATATAAGCAAAGGTTACATAAGATCTCAAACTGCTCAAGATTATTTAGTAAACAGTGTATGGAAATATGTCTGTTCTTTTTCAACCTTGTAATCTATCAGCACGCACGAAATGTTTCTTCTGTGATTGCAAAATACATGTCTGTCTATTCTGCTGAAAAAGAATGTTTGAAGAGATGCTAAGTTAAAGGGAAGGAAACATTTTTAGTGATAAAGAGATTTTTGGATATAGCACAAAAGGCCTTCATGATATTCACTGTGTGACATCAAGGCTTTATTCATTCAAATTTAAGCATGCATTAGGCTTTATTTGTTGGCTAGAAACTGTTTCGTTCAAAGATGGATCAACAAATTATTACGTTGAAGTAACTGAGGTTTTTGAAACTTTGGATGTGAGTCCTAATTTCATACAAATTAAATTTCAGATTTACCATATCTGTTCTGTTCAGCAAAGGATAATAGAACATGACTGGAATAAGTTGGCGCTTAAATAAACTTACAGATTACCAGCAGGTTTCCAATAGTTCTGGGAGTCCTGCCTCTAAGCTTCAACTGAAATCTTTAAAGCTTTCTACTGCTTTAGACTGTCAGACTGTTCCAGCTGTGGCACAATATTCATCCACGTGGTTGGTCTGAAATTAGCTGGTGTTAATGCAAAAACCTCCAGTTGCAGAAATATCTGGATCATTCCCTAAATAGGATTTCTTATTCAATGAAGCAGTTATTCCACTATTCAGATTCCAAAAATATTTCTGTTCATTTGATGCAACTGTCTAGTAAAATAAGCCATATGTTTATCATTCTGAAAATGCTTTGCAAATACGGAAAACATCACATTAATGTACCTGTCTCACGTGAAGGACAAAAATGTTTGTATTGTTACAGTTTATCTGCTGCTTCCAATTAGAAATCTAATTTGTTTGCTTTTGTTCAATGGTTTACATATTGGATAACATAAAAATCAAAGTTTGTTTTCTGTCACTCTGCCTTGAGCTGAAATGCTAATTCTTGCTGTATTCTTAACTGGTGTTTTGATAGCATGTATCACAACATAGGCGATTGCACAGATTGGCTGCCAGAGTATGTGCTTCTCCCAGCTGCACAGCTGCCTCAGGCTTACTAACTGTAGCTTTATTTTTGTGACTGCTATGTCAAAACCATCTATTTATAAACCAAATCAGAAAATGCCCTGGAACCATAATTTTTTCTTTCAGGCTTCACTTTCAGTTATCCACAAGCTCAGTATTCCGCATTCATAGACTGGGTTATAAAATTTTATTACTATTTAGACTAAAACTTATTAAAAATCTTGGGATGTCAGTGCCAGTCAAAACATTTAAAAATATTTGTGCTTTCTGCCTACAAGGTGAAATGTAGAGGATGTTGGGATGCACTAACCAGACAACGAAAATGCATGGTTTTTTTCATTTTCCATTTCTATTTGGTTATTATTCTTGACAATGTTTTCTCATGATAAACTAGTCTCATGCTTGTTTTAAAAGTGGGGAAAGGGAGGTAAGAAGCTTAAAAGCAGTATTTTGAAAATGCTCACTAATTTTGACTTTAGTTTCAAATCAATGTACGCACTCACTTATTCTTAGATGTTTGAATGGTCTGGATGCCAGACTTAGTCTTTGCTTTATTAGGGTCAGGCCATAGGTGACCTGAAACTAATACATAAAAATTGGCATTCAGAATAAATAGAGATCCTTGATAATCTTCAGTTCTTCCAGAATACACCAAAGAAACATAAAATCTCCATTTTTTTCCTATTTCAGATTAAGAAAAAAATAATTGCAGGGGGTGACTTTGGTAGAGTCTGTTTAATATGATGGACTAAGACCTTAATTGCATGAATCAAACTGCATTAACCTCTTGTGGAGTCATAAATTAGTCTGCAGGCAACTACTCTTTTCTCAATGAAACAGTTTTCTAATATGAGAGTGGTCAAGATAAGGAGTGAATGGCCAACAGTCGCTCGCAGGCAAACGATGTTAGGAGCCTACATAGATGACTTGGAAGTGTTTGCTTTACAAAACAATAGTCCTTTCTCACAGATTAATCTTCTATAACTAAGCACTATCTTTAAATATAAATGGCTCTGTGCCATTTTTAGAACACTTGGATTACTTTGTTAAATTATTAACTAGTTTTTATCATTGGGAGGAGAGGTTTTATAGAAATGAGAACAAGATCTTACTCATGAGTTATTTTTAAAATGTGTCAGTGTGAAGACTTGTTCTTGTGACATAAGTGCAGTAGAGCTGCTGTTGTATAGATATTAAAGGAATTACAGAAACTGCAGATAAGGAGAATCCACGTTTGGTCCCTACAATGTTCTTCATGTTCTGATTCTGAAAACAGCTGTTCAGCAGTTCTTGGTAAAGTTTTCTGTTCTTTTTCCTAATTTTTTAGGATCCACCTAGTAGACTGTAACATACTGAAGTAAGAGGAAAGCTGATCTTTGATACTTAACTTACCAGTAAGCATTTTCTGTCCTGATTTCAGACGTAAAATGGCAGTAGGCTATAAGTTATCTCCTCTCCTCGAGTTTCTTCTATTTGTTTTAGGGACAGCAGATAGAGAAACACTAAGTTCCTGTTTGGCTTGAAGGCCTGGCAGGAGGAAGGCTCACCTGCAGGGTACTTGCATAGGGGCAGAGAGCTGGTGGATTGCTATGGGTCTTACCTCCCAAGCTCTCCATGATTTCCTTGGCATATATAAACATACCTATTCCCCAGCAATTCCCAAGTCCAAGCAGGGTCAGGTGGAGATGTGTCTCAGTAATGATGGATTCCTGCTTCTGAGTAGCTCAGCATCTGAAGAAACAATCTCATCTAGAGCTGGAACTCCATTCTCCCTGGTAGGAAACCGAAAACAAGACAGGTTGTTTGATTTCAGACTGCAATTAAACAATGTAGGAATATTATCAAAATCCACTTGCAAATTTAATTACTCTTCTACAGAGTAGAACTTATCTGTTATCTTAACTGAAAATACTTTGAAAAAATGGTGTGACAAATGGAAATTGAGGGAATCACTAATTCTCTTCCTCTTATGCCCTAGAACATTACTCCAAATAAATTTCAAAGTCTCTTCCCTTCCAAGCCAGTTTAAATTTTCCTACTCAGATGGTTAATCGCAAGTATTTGCTCAGCAAATATGAATGTCTTGAGGGTGACTTATGAAATCTCTAAAAACTTGCATTATGTGGACATTTCCCCTGGTGTCAGTATGCCCCAAGTTAAAACTTAGGATTCAAAAACATAATTCTGTCTTATTGTTCTGTGGTGTACTCCCACCTCTCCTTTTTTGCACTAGGCAAAATCATATTTTTAATGGAAAACTACAAAGTTACAATATTGTAAATGGATATATTCTTGCAGTTTATCTAGTAAAACACTCATCTGACATTGGCAAAGCATACTCAGCAGATGGCTGGGGGAGGCCTAATCCTTTTCCTCCTGGCACATTGTATGCTAATTACTATTTGCCCTGAACAGAGAGCCTTCTGAATATTCAGTTAACTTTCATATATGGACAGAAGTGTTTGTTGGGAAAGGTGGTGGGGAAAATCCCTGTGCACAATTGAAGACAGCTATACTGTAAAAAAAAAAAATAAAAATAAAAATCTGAGAAATCTATGCTATCTGTAGAGTCAATTGGAAAGGTAACATGGCCTGTTGTCAGAATAATTCAAATCCCACCAGGATTTATGCTGGATGGAAGTTGAGTTTGGCATGATAAATAAGAAGAAATGGCAGCATCTTCCATCAAAACAATGTTGATTTTCAGAGGAACAGCAAAGGATCTCTTGGTATCTCCTTGTGATAGAGCCATCTGAGTTCTTGCTAAATGAGCATTTGGCAGTTCTTGTCTAATTATTTTCACTTCCATTGAAGTTAAAAAAAAAAAAAAAAAAAAAAAAGCTGCTTGACTAATGAGGGAAAAATGTGCAATGAAACCTAAGATGCTCCTGGAGAATTCCCTTTCTTCCATAGCAGTTCAGAGGGGTTATGCTTCTAATACAGTTCCAAAGTCCCCTTTTGCAGGTGCCTCAATTCTAACAGAGACATGAGAGCATGAAGCCAAGGGATGGTGAAGACGAAAGAATACTGTGCTTGTCCTGAAACTTGCAAGAAACAGCAGTTGTGTTCAGGCAGCAGTAAGCCAGCTGGGAGGATTCTGAAGTGAACTGAGGACTGGTGAGCTGGCAGAGCTCAGACAGCTGTGATTGGAATCTAGTTGGAGGCCTGTAGCAGCATTCTCCATGAGTCAGTGCTGGGTTCAGTTTTGTTCAGCATCTTCATCAGTTCCCTGGATGAAGGGATTGAGTCCATCTTCAGCTAGTTTGCTGATGATACAAAACTGGGAGAAGTGGCAGATGCAGCAGAAGGCTGTGCTGCCATTCAACAAGACCCGGACTGACTGGGGTGTTGGGCAGAGAGGAACCTGGTGAAGTTCAGCAAAGGCAAGTGTGAAGTCCTGCATCTGAGGCGGAATAACCACACGCATCAATACAGGTTAGGGACTAACCTGCTGGGGAGGAACTCTGCTGGGAAAGACCTGGGTGTTCTAGTGGACAACATGTTGACTGTAAGCCAGCAATAGAACAAAGAGCAATGGGCAGAAACTGGAACATAGGAAGTTCCATACTAATACAAAGAAGAATTTCTTTACTGTTAGCATGACAGCACTGAAACAGGCTGCTCAGAGATGTTGTGGAGACTCCTGGAGATATTCAAAACCCATCTAGATGCCTACCTGTGTGACCTACTATAGAGAACCTGCTATAGCAGGGAGGTTGGTCTTGATGACCTTTAGAGGTCCCTTCCAACTCCTGCAATTCTGTGATTCTCTTTACCGTGGACTACCTGGATAACATTTTGACCTATTTTGGCTGATGCACTGATATCTCTGTGCTACATGCGTATGTTAAAATGTGCTTTGCAACAGTGATGGTGAGAGGTCAGCTGGCTGAGTACTTGGCACCTTTTGTCACAGTTCTCTTTCAGAGTATGCTCTTGGGCTAGAACTTTATACCAAGGAAATAAACTTCTTCCTTGAGACATATACCTGAATTTTAGATTTTCCTGTCTCCAAGAAAGTTAAAATTCAAATTAACATTCAATTACATTCAAGACTACAACATTTTTACATTATTTTGATGATAAGATTTAAGTTATCATCCCCATGTCTCTCCATACTGGTGATATTTATGAAGAAAAATAAGTCAGAAAGGAAGGTCATCTCAATATTATTTTTTTATGTGTGAGCGATGTCTCTGCTCCGAACTTATGCTATAATCATGACACTGAATAATTGTGTCCGTGCAAACTGATATGGCAGGTTAGACAGTGTTTGTACTACACTTCTATGTGTTTTGTGTTTCATTTCTACGTGTTAAATAGAGCAATATTACTGGAAATTCAGATATGATCAGGTTTTAGATATCCTTCAGTAGTGTTGTAGATCAAAAGCTTTGATATAACTAACGGTACTTCCATATTCAAATTTTGCTTTAGCACGTATTAAATTGTGAAGCAGATATATTTTCTATCTCTAAGCCAGAATCCAATTGCCACTCTGAATATTAATGAATATTAACCTTCACATCTGAAAATGGTGGTGTAAACATGCAGCCTTTTCACATCAAAGTGACTGGAAAGTCAGGCAAAGATATCAGGATGATCTGGCAGCTTTATGTGAGGCCAGTTTGGATACTGAATTTATGTTGCAGTTGACTGGGCTATAGCTGGAAAGAGGATTGTGGTCTATAAGACTTAGCGTGAACTTTATCCTATGCTTTATTTCAAACGAAATGGAAGGGAATGCGTTTTTGGTTTGGTATATCAAGTAATCCATTAATCCTGCTTACTTAAAGATTCAGCAAATGATCAATGAAGATAGCCTTTTCTCAGAATGAAATGAGTATCACTTTAATGGTTCAAATTAGTAGTTAACTTGAAACTTTACTATTACGCTCGTATCTCTAGTGAGTGAAAAATTCCAAAGCAAAGATTGCTTACCTGGACTTTATAGGTAATAACAACTTGAACTTCTGCTGTTTGCCTCTTTAGTACTGTAAGGTGTCACCTGCTAGAGCTTCTTTGTTGCCTCTTTTCTCTCACATGGCTAGTAGGCTGCATTTCTACTCATAGCAGTATTGGTGGTGAAGTTGTTGGAGACCATTGTTCCTGTGCCACTTTCTGTTGCTTGGAGTCCCATGAGGTCCATCACCAGAACGGTGATGCATGGAAGCAAGCAGGGCAGCCCAAACTGTGGTAGCAAGCTGGCAGTTATCGTACTGCAACCCTTCAGGGTGTTCTTCTGCAGTTTAAATGCATCACTTCCTCAGTGACATAGTACTGTGAATTAAAAACATGTATTCATAACTACAGAAAACAATAATTTTTATTAATATTTGCCACTATAAAGGTTTCTGTTTCTTAATTTTACTAGGTTGCTTTTAAACCTTTAAAATCTTTATGTAAGTTAGGAAATAGCTTGCGATCAGCTGTCAGTTCTGTGTGCACGCTTCTAGAAATGACTCTGTAAGGATGACTCAAGCTTGGCAGCCCAACAAAAGATGTTCTCTCTGTAAAACAAATAGTTATATCTGAAAATGTGAGACTGTTTCTTCATTGCTCTCTTGGAGGGGAAGAAGAAAAAGAAGAGACTGCTAGGATAGTCATGAATATTTTAAGTTTGAGCTCTACAGTTCAGCTGTATGACAGCTCATATAAACCAAATTACATTTTATACCCTGACTTGGTAAGCACATTAATGCTTCCAGTACAGATGCCAGTTTTGGCTCTGCAACTCGCTACCTCTGCACGTGTGGGATGAAAGAGTTCCAGAAGCCAGCATTTAAATGCCACTGTAAGCTAATTTGTGTGCTTATCTAAGCCCAGACAGAAGGCTGTTGTCATATGGCCACATCTGTAAGAGCTGCTCTGACATTAGGAATTGCTAAATACAACTTCCCTGGTAGCCCAGCAGTGAAGAGGAAGTACTCAGTAAGCTGTGGCCAGCATTTTCCTCTCTAAAAGAAAACAAAATAGAAGTGAAGGCAAATTGAAGGTGGCTGTTGAGGATAGGTCCACAGAGAATTTGAGGTCACATAAAATGTGTTGGCAGCTTTAACCTGTATTTATGCTTGGAAATCAGGGAGAGGCTTCAAGCATGGTAGCTCCTGTACAGTGACCAGTGCAGTTTTATGCTGGTCTGGGCACTGTGCTACAGTGTAGAGTGGGAAAGACGAGGGTAAAACTGTTGGGGCCAAGAAAATAGTGCGATTCTTACCTATTATAAAACAGGTTGTTATTTTGAACTGCGCTGTTGAGTGGCCAATCTTCTAGAGCTGGATTAAAATTGCATGGATTTTTTGTGATTGTTTCTTAGCAAAATAATGCAGAAGAGCTTACATAACTCAGTTATGCTTTCATTTTTCAGTATCGTTTCATCTTCTTTTTTAATTACACTGATACTTCATGCCCATGTTAATTCAGCCGTTGTCATTTCCTCCGTAAAAATGGTAGGTGGCATAATATTATGAAAGGCTGTTGTATTGCTTAAAAAGCAGCTAAATCAATAGATGGCTGTGGCTGTTAGATGCAGTTTTCTATAAGAAAACTCAATTTATCAGTTGCCAGAATAAGACAAGAGACATCTTGTGCTCAGCAGGCTCTCTTTGGTAAATGGAAGTTTCATTGATTATGCAGCAGTGTTGGAGAGCAGCATAAATTCTGGGATGGGGACAATTTAATGCAAAAGCAGGAAAGCACTGTCCAGTGGGAAAAACCTTGGTCTGCAGAGGTCAGATTGTATTTCAAACTGTGCAATTAATCTGCTTTGTGTCTTTAGTCATGTTTCCCTACTGTTTTATGCTTTAATCTCTACCATTTGGAATGTATCTATTTAAGAAGTCCTTTTGCACTTCAAGCTCAATATGCAGCATCAGCGTGTAGGAACAGAAATAAAAACTAAGAGTAATTCAGTTTCTGTAAAAAAGCTCTTGATTTTTTTGCAGCCATACAATGCAAGTTTCAGGCATGCCTATGTCGTGAAAAGAGAGTTTGGTCTGAATCCCAATTTATTCAGAATTATGATTCCTTTTGATTTTGGTTCTTGCTCACTAACTTGATAATTGCATTGCTTTTGATTATCAGCAAATTGGTTCCTTTCAGCTAATTTTCTGGAATTGCTTACAATAAGCAAATATTTTCTGCAGCAAGATAATGCAGGAGAAGCTGGAAGATGGTTAAATTTGGAACATTTGTTAGCCATAAGATGTAGATAGAATTTTAGAGAAAAGCAAATTCATGAATTCTCTGTAAGTAGTAGTTTTATTAGTAATCATAGAGGGGGGGGGAAAAAAAAGGATGGATTTCCCCAGTGGGGAGTGGGGGGAGAAGGGATATGCTATAGGAGAACTAGCATTTCTTCTATCATGTATGCTGTGAAGATGCTGCATGCAGGTTACAATAATGCTATTTTAACTTCCACTAAGTCTTCAAAACGTGCTACATTTCCATAATAACAACCCATAATTATGCGTGTTTAAACTTTATGGTTAACCAGTGGGATAAGCAACCCCAGGTAATCATGGGGAGCATATGCATATAAAGAAATAATAAGGTCTTTGAAGGGTGACTAAGTGTAAGTTCATGTGGGTGAAAGGAAGAATGGAAGCTGTGGGATAAAGAGCATAATTTCATATCTTCAAGCGTTGGTTCTTGATGTACCAATCTACATTGTATGGGGCTCTTGTGAGGGTGAGTGTGGAGTATCCGCTATCGTAGTTGTGGGAGCTTGTTTTATTTTGTGTATGTTTTAGAGGTTTGTGACTGAGATCTTGGTCAAGAAAACAGCAGAAAGTTGGAGATACAAGTTCTACGTTAGGAAAGACTGGGGTCTCATTTTCCTGTGTACCAAACTGACAGAATAGAAGTAGTAATCGCCTAGAAAATTCACTGCATTACCATGTTGACAGCTTGAGTCTAGTAAACCAGTAAATATTGGTGGCTTTAGATTATTTTTTTTATCTTTGGGGAAATTGAAAGATCTCTTGTAGCTTTCTTAGGAAGCAGGGATCTGCTGAAGGAATTAACTGCAGAAATTATTTTAAAAGAAAAATGCTCACTTGGATCACTGAATAATTTTGTTGTGATGTTACAAATCTGCCATGTTGATATTACGAGACAGTGACTTTGGTAGGTCAGTGCTGAGAATCAGCAAATCTGAGAGACCTTTTCAAAATTTGGAAACCCATGGGTCTGGACCAGTTAGTGGGGGAAAGCCAAAAGATGGTGTTATATAGTTGTATATCAAACTTTTAAGAAATTGAGCTTAGAATGCTGGGGCAGGAAGGCTAGGAGAAAGATGGTAATGTACCAATCTGGCATGTTATTCACACACACACAGATATATATATCTCTGCTTACACCATATTCAACACATTTATATAATAAAAAAAAACCCTATAGAAACTCAAATGTAGGGGGCATCCTAAACCTCTAGTGCAATATTTTGGTATCACTTTACACTAGTTTTTCTTATAAACTCATCATAAGATGCTTAGATACTGATTTAGGGTCTCATGAGGAGTCAGTGCCAAATCCTATATATGTCCTCAAATAGGAATCTTTCAGGATAATACGTTTCATATCTGATGATTCATCCCTATGCCTAATTAGGAAAGGAACAGGGAAACTGGTCCAAGTTTATCTATGGAGAAAAGGCAGAATGCATGATTGGATGTAGCAGTTTCTATTTTTCTCCTATTTCATAGAGCTGCATTTTATGGAAACATTGAGGTGTTCCTCTCCTGACTAACACTGCTGCTATTCAGCATTTTTACCTACCTTTTATAACATAGGATTACAGCAGTGATGGCAGCAACATCAGCACAGGGCTCTGCTGGATGCACGCAGAAAATTGGGCTGTAAAGATTTGTTACTTGAGCAGCACCTGCAAATGCTGGAGAAAGAGTAGGGTTCTTTCAGAATTTTGGGGGAACATTTGAAAAAACAAACAAACACCAAAACTATAGTACTTTTTTAAATGTGTGCCTGTGTCCAGAGAACCAGCTTCCTACTACTAGTAGCTGTAGCTACCATGTTCCTTTTCTTGGTGAGGTTTAGTAGTTCAATCAAGGATTACGCTGGCATGGCCATATGCCTTCCGCCTCTCAAGATAATGTGGCCCTCGCAATTCTGGCCATCTCTGTGCTGAAGATAACATTCTTACTGTTTTCATCTGCAGTTTCATATTTTTACCCATTTCTTCTTGCTATAAGCATTGACATCGTGGACATTTCAACCAGCAGGGGGAATAAGCTGTTAATGCTAGTGCTGGCACAAGAACAAATAGGTTTCTGCTAGGCATGAATAAAATTAGACGGGAAGTAGGAGGATTTACATAGTGATTCAAACACTGAGCTTCTGGAGCAGCTTTCCAGTGGTATTGGAAGGCCAAAACCTCTAGTTACTTTTAAACACAATGTATGAAAGGAATTGCATAATGGAATAGCCAGTGTGGGCTTGACTGAGTAACTCAGGACCCTAGCAGTCCTTTTTTGGCATGTGCAAATGGGTCAAGAAAAGAGTGCTGATACCTTCCCTTTGCAAAGTCACACTGAAGTAGCTGCAATCTGTTTTTTCCAGAACCTACGCTTGTAAATATTTGATCATCTGTGGCAAGTCCTTAGGATATGCACATGGACTGCGTGTACTTATACTTTAACGTACACTTGCTTAAAAATATTTAAGTGAAACTTTCCCTGCCCCATTTTTTCTTTCTTGACACTGTTTTTGCATGATAACACACAAGTGAAAAGAATTAGCAAGGCCCAGGCCTGATGTCACAGCCACGGCTAGAAGTGCTTGCTTATTAAAAGAGCAGCACTTTTTCTGCTGGCAGCTTATATTTTACTTGCTAAGTATATCTGTATTGAAATACATGATAAATGTGTTCTAGATGGCCTCACTGACCAGCATGTTTCTGCTTCTAAATAGTGCAGCCTTTAGAACTAAAATGCTTGCACCAGTGGCAAAAATACCTCACTGCAGTCACTTGCAGTATGCAATCACTTCATGCCGAAGTTTCAATATTGCTAAGGAATCCTAAGAAACAGCTTGTGAAATCCTTTGGTTATGAATGCATGCTCACAAGTGAGTTCAGTCTGAAATGAGTTCAGATTAGTTTATTCAAAATAAATCTTTCCTGCAATCAGAGGTATCTTACTGATGCTAGGTTTTACCTGGATACAAATTGAACTGTAATTAATAAAACCTTGGACTTGTTTGATATTAGTGGCACAGCTGTGTTGTCTCCCTTGCCATATATTGCTAACATACATTTTGTTTTATCATCTTACTCCAATTTACCATTAATATTTCACAGTGTTGAAGGGAGGAGATGAAAACTATATCCTGATTACCATGGATGTTCTAACCTGTGGTGCTGGAACAGATGGTGCTCATAAGTGTTCATTTGTGTAGTACTGTTGTGGAGAAGAATAGCTAGCAGTAACACCAAACAAGCAAAGCGTGGTAAATGAGTGGTAATTCTAATAGAAAAAAAATTGCATTTTTTCTATACTCTATAATAATAAGGTAGTGCTGTGCTGAGTAGAAACTGGAGGGGAAAGCTGCACTTAGAACTCTAAACTACTGAATAAGAGGAGAATGTTCATCCGTTAGAGTACGAGGTTGAAATAAAAACTGCAAAGTGAAGTGCAGTGGAAATGCTGTGCTGCTAGATCTATAGTTTAGAAAGTGATGCTTTAGAAGAATCTAGAGCAAAAAGTGTTTCCTGAATCTCTTCTTTGTTTGTTGCATTAGTGCAATGTATATGCTGTTTTTCTCGGTTGCTGAAGTGTTTCACTTAGTTTCATTACATACAGTAAAATCAGAATGCCGGGTTGCTGCTGTGATGGAGGGATGCACAGCGAGACATGGACATCTTTTATGTAAAGAGGGGGAAAAAACCAAAACAGCTTTTCTGATGGAAATATTTTCCTTCACACTGATGACTGAGGAGTTATTTGAGAATAGCTAAATATTGAGGATTAGTGCGTGATGCATTATTTTAAAAAGGTTATACTAATGCATTGCATTGTTCATTATAATTCCCAGGTTTCTTCTAAGTATAAATTATTCATATTATATCTGATATTTTTATATGTGCAGTAGTATATTTTATGAAAGTAATTAAATATGAGTTGCGTGAAGTTTCAGTGCAGCTTTGTTTTAGCTTTTATTCCCCTGCTGAGAAACAGAAAGGCTACCGCCTTCTTTGGAGTGCACATTAGAGGTTGTGCAGATTAGCTCTGCGCCAGCTAATGAAGTTCTACTGTTCCTCAGTGTCCCTGTGTGCTTGATATCCTCCTCCTGCCCAAGACTCTTAGATTTGTGTTATTTACAGCACTGGCAGACTTATGTGCTACTACAAATCAAAAGAAAATGTCTGTGCAACACAGGGCACAGCAGGACCTTGGCCTGTGGCTGAGCCTACTAATACTGCAGTAGTATCAGTAAGTTGTAACCATGCTTGACTACTGCGCTCACTTGTCAGCAGAGCTCAGCAATGGATGCTTCTGCTCTGCTGCCTGGTTGCTGTGGTACATGCCCTTTGGTCACCCAAGACTAGTCTTGAGCTATCCAGGTGGTGCCCTGGTTATTACAAAGGTAACCTGGGTTAGTTCTGTGCTTGGAAACTCCTAGTTAAGTTGAATATTCAATGTTCCATTCTGATACTTGATTCTGCAATGATCATTGCTGTTGTGAACTTGATAGAGATTTTATGCCATTCTTGCAAAGAGATGACTGCTTCATCAAGCAGTAAACATTTGTACCTCATGAACTTGTCTCCTTCACATTCTGTCTGCAAGAAAAATATTCCTCTTTCTTTAAAATCAGTAACCAATTTGACTCTGTGAACAACATGCTGGATGTGGTGTTGAGGGACATGGTTTAGTGGTAATAGGTGAACGGTTAGACTGGATGATCTTCTAGGTCTTTTCCAACCTTGGTGATTCTATGATACTGGAATACCTCACCTGCTCTGTTATTACAGGGCTTACCTTGATTTTTGAAATTGTTAGGTATTTGAACATATCTTTTGCTGCTGTTGAAATCCAGAACTTTTCCAGTGAGATGTACTTCCATTGGTCAGCAAGACCAATATTATTTATGCCTTGGGTAAGGAGAAAGTTCCTTAAAAAGGCTATTCTATATAGCTTTTTCCAAGTCAAGTAATACACTGACATTGTATTTTCAGGTGATATCACAAAAAAAGATTTGATTGTGTAGACAGGTTGTGTCTTTACCATGGAGCCTAGGCTTCCATTTCCTGACTAGCTGTCGAGCATGAATAGAGAAGACTGCTATCAGCAGTTCTGCATCTCAAGTCTTTTCAATTTGAATCGCAGCACTGCGTTTTCAGTCCATGTGTTCACTGACCCCCATGCTGATAAGCAAGTGATGAATTTAAAAGCTCTGGGAAATGGTCTGGAGCCATGATGCAAGCTTTGTTTAGCATCTAGATTGAAAATATGTATCTGCCCTGCATAATACACGTTTTCTCCATAGCCAAATATTGAAGCACTGGCTGTCAGTGCTTTTCTGCATGCCTCTGACTCATAGTTTTCAGTTCCTTCTATTGGATGCAGATGTTACTATGATAATCCTTTTTTTTCTGGTATCTTGCTTTCAGACATTCACGGTACAATCCATTTGGGATTATTTCAGTCTTTCAAAGATGAAAGCTGATTTTTTAAAAATAAAAGGCAGCTGTCATTCTTAGTGGGTATTTCACATGGAACTGACTCTGCTCTCCCAACTGCACGGCCACCTGAAACTTGTTATCAGCTTCATAAAACACAGCTTGAGCAGTGTGGCAGTCAGTGACTGGGAGACTGTGTGCTGCTTGAGAGGTTCTGGTGACATCTGAAGCTGAGGAACAGCTGGATTGTATGGAAAGTGTCTGGGAAAACACATATCAAGGAATATCAGTTTGTATAGAAAACTGGTAGAGGTTCTCCCTAGTTCCACACAACAGCAATCCTAAGGCATTTTCTCCATTTTCATTTGTTTATTTTTTCCCCCACACTGCGCCATTCTGTTGCTCTCTCCTGGCTGCCGTTTTGTGCTTAATTTTGAACTTCCATGTGTAGCACTGTCTTACCTGCATGTGCAGATCAGAATGATTGTGATTTAAAAAAAAAAAAGTACATATCAGTAATGGTACTGCTGTAAAACAGTCTGCATGGAAATGATCTGTAAAGTTTCTTGTATCTTCTAAATTAGCTATGGTAATGAGTTTGGTGATACAAAGTCTGTGTTAATTCAGGTTGGCCTCTGAAGAGTGTTAGATGGAGCAGAGAAAAATTCTGTAATTTTGGAAATCTGTGGTACTGGCACTCAGCAGAGGACGAATAAGAAAAAGGGGGACCCAGGCAAAAAGGAGAATCGTCTTTTTTCCTCAGCTAGGAGGCCTGAACCCAAATAAAGCGCATCTGTTCCTGGATATTGCAAGTCTGCAGGCAAAACGCGTGCTGGGAGCTCAGCATCCAGCCTGGTTTCTGAGGAGACGCGGCCGTAAGGTCGGTCTCCTGAGATTTCCAGTGCTGTGGAAAGGCTACAAAGAAGCAGGTTACTCTTCTACCTGGCTGAAGTTATTTTTTATCACCGCGACGCTTCTCCTCGTGTTGGATCACCCAGGCGCGTTCCACTGGAGGCCGAGGGCTGCCGGCCTCACGAAGGGAAGGCGCGGCCCGCTCCCAGGTGCCACGGCGCCATCCTCCGCGCGGCCGCCACGGGCGAGGCGCTGACGGCCGCGCGTAACGGCTCGCCCCGCGCGTGCCGGGCGGGTGCGGGCCCCGCGCCGTAAGGGCTGTGAGCGCGCGCCGGGGCGGTGGCAGCGCGGCGGACGGCGACCGCCCGGCCGCGCCTGCGCCCGCCGCGGGGTTGTGCGGTTCGGGGGGGAGTAAAGCAGAAGGCGCGCGCGCGCGCCGCTCCCGCCCGCCCTCGCGCTGAGGCAGCGGACTCCAGTCACGGCGGCGCGAGGAGGCGGACGGGCGGGTGCCGCGGTGCGGAGCCGCCTGCTCGGCCCCCGCAGCCCTTCCCGGCCCCGCGGGCGCGGCCCGTGGGGGGTGAGGGCCCCGCGCTGCCCCCCGCCGGCCGGCCGCCCCCGCTCGCCGCCTCGGGGCGCTATGAGCCATGAAGCCGCCCGGCAGCACGTCCCCGCGCCGGCCCCGCCGCCCCGCGCTCCTGCCGCTCCTCGTCGCGCCGCTCCTGCTGCTCCACGGCTCCGCCCGCTGCCGGGCTGCGGCGGCAGACGGTGGGTACGGCCGGTCCGCGGGCGAGGTGTCCGCCGCTCCCCGCGCCCCTTCCCGACCCCCTCGCCTCCCTCTCGGGCGATGAACCCCGGCGCGACGCGTCGCCACCGAGCGAGCTCTTCCTGCGCCCTTCCCAGCCTCGTGTACGTGTACGTGCCCGCTGCCCCGCGCGTAACGCTGCGCTCGGGTAAGCTTCCCTTTGCTCGCTCGCGAAACGGGAAAAACGCGAGGCTTCCCTGGCTGCGCTCTGCTGAGGCGGTGCTGCGGTGCTTTACGGAGGGCGGTGTGCGGAGAAGCGCCGCTGAGGTATGCGACAAAAAGGCAGAGGTGGTTCTGCGCGCGGCTGAGCGGGAGCCAACTTGTGCGCCGGGGCTGCGTGGCTGCCGGTGCCCTTACTTGCTTCCGAGCGACGGAGCTGGTGTAGAATACCGCATACAGCCGCTCTGCCAATCGCCTCACCGCCGACTTTACGCTGTATGTTGGCTGACTGGATTTTAATGTGCAAGGATACGGCGTTCCATCTGAAAAGGTGCCGCTAGCTTAGGGCTCCTGTCGAAGTTAAAAGGTGTAGAGAACTTCCCATTATGTAGGCTGGCTGTGCAAGTATTCTCGATCTTTTTGTGGAAGCGTATGTATTTTTAATGTGCACGTATACCTCTTGATGTGGAAGAGACCATTGCTGACACGGGAGGTTGTAGAGCATAACTGTATCCAGTAAGACTTCTTTTCCTCTTGGTGGCTGAAAGGTGTTAAAATATTTATTATCCGTGACTGTATGTAAAAATGTACACATGTGCATTTAAGTAAATAATGTTATTTCAAACATCATTTGTGAAAATGAATCAGATCTAGCTCAATTAATAATTTCTTCTTGTTTTCTTGAGTAACTGATTAAATATTAGAAATCTGCGAGTTTGTCGCTGCTGGTGTGTCACTTTTAAATGGAAATAAACATATTCTGCCATCTAATTTATGGCTGGTGTATCTTTTTTCCTCAGACCTGCACTGGAATGAAACGGCAGGCAGAACTGAAGGGGTACTGGCAGATGAAGAAAATGCATTTCGACTGAATAAAAGTAACAACAGTGAAAATAACAGCCACAGCAATGCAATCCAGAAAGAAATCACGCTGCCTTCAAGACTCATTTATTACATCAACAAGGATTCTGAAACCCCTTATCATGTCCTGGATACTAGGGCAAGGCACCAGCAGAAACACAATAAGGTAGGGTAAAAAGAGGCTTCTCTATGGAATTTAAAAATAAAAATTAAAGAATAGGTAATGCAGAACTGTGGTTGTGTATTTTATTTTGTAGATCTTCAAGGCTTAATGTTGTTTTTAGGAATTAATATAAAATGTTATTAAACAAGAACATTATTTCCTGTGTCTTAATTAAAAAATATTTTAAGGTGATTCGGTAGTTGATAAAATGAATGGTAATTAGTCAAAATTGGTTTGTCTGACCAGTGCAGATTTTGGTAGCTTGACTTCATAGCATCATCAGCAAAATGCTTCTTCCAAAATTGTTCTACAATAGAGGAATGTTGTATGGAGACTTTTTTTAGAAATCTAAACTTAAGATGTGACTTACTTGACACTGAGTGTATCATGCTCCACCCAGTAAATGCAGTAGTGGTTTCCTGCTAGTGTATGACCAGTGGAAACCAATGTAAGATCATGGAGTTGGTGTGTGTGTGTGTGTGATCTAATCTAGTCTTGTATTTTGTATGGATAGAAACGTTTTTGAAATTGCTTGAGACTGGATAATTTTCTTTAATTTTTTTTTTTAATAACTTGATGTAGGGGTAAACCTCATGTAAACTGTATTACTTTGGTGGCACCCCCTAAAATTATTCCATTTTACTTTTATAAATTTAAATTTAAAAAACACACTTTTTTTTCCAATAATTTATAAACTGAAGACAAAGAGTGTTTGAGTAGGAAGAGGTTGCCATGGTAGGAAAAACCAGTAATACGTATTAGTGTATATAGGCTTAGCTGTAGTATAGTCCTCACCTGTTGAATTACACTTTTGGAATTTTGGAATATGAATTAGTATGTGTTTTGGTTTTGTTCATTCTGTAACGTTTCAGATGTGAAATTAATATGGAGTTACTGTATAATCTTAGAAATAGTTGTATGGTTTTGATATTTTCATGAGAAGAAAGGTTACTTTCTTGCTTATTGAATTTGGATACGTTATGCGTGTTCAGATGAGTCTAAATGCACCAATACATTGGATGGCACAGAAAAATTGTCCCTGTGTTGGAAAATGAAACTACTTAAAATAATACTGTCTTCAGAAGTTGCACCACAACCTTCTTGAAGCATGTGAGGTTTTTATTTACACTGTTTAAAAATGTCTCAGACATTATTTAGGAAAGAATAAGCCATGTCAGTGGTATACTACAAAGATCAACCTTCCCTCCTTACCCCCTCAGTGCTCATGCAGAATGAAAGTTCTCTGTGCAAACTTTAGAGATTTTGATAAATTTATAGATCTTTTCAAATTCTGTTTTCTCTTCACAAGCATTGTCATGCAGTATTTCCTTTCTTTGGGGAAGATGTAGAGACTTATCCCCTGACACCTGAGGAGCTGCCCTTGGAGTGAGATCACTCTTTTCAGTAAACTTACACACTGTGGACTTTGTCCCTTCTTTTGAGAGGAATATGGAGGAAAGGAGTATGCTATTGGTTGGAGACCTGCCTTTGGGAATATTGCTTCTCCCATGTTTGTGTGTGATGTTTTCATGAAACACACAGAGGTGAGAGTGTGCCATTCTCTTTACTTAACCAGCATTCTCACAAGAACATTGCTGTCGTTGCCTATCCTTTCTATGCTCCACCTTCTCTCTCCCTACCTTCTGGGGTAAAGCTCTGCAGAAATCAGTGCTGACAGAATTGGTATTGATTTCTTGGGGTATGCATGGTGCTGAGTACTGTGTAAAATGGATCTTTCCACTCAGTGTCCATTTTAAGCCGAGGCACTGCTAACACTGCATTATTCCCACAGAAAGGTTTTTAGGTTTGGGTTTTCACGGAGGCTGGAATTATGTTGACTTCATTCTTCTGGCATGATACTTATTTTACTTTGTTCCTTTTAACTGAATCTTGGTTGGTTGTATTCCTTGTCTGAATTGCTTGTGTTATTGTTGTTATTATTATGTTATTTCTTTTAAGAACAACATCGGGCTTCCCTTTCTCCTGCAACTTTTCCTTCCTTCACCCAGTTTGATTCTTTCATGTTTCATTGAGTGAGATTTTTTTTCTTATTTGCTCCTCCAGCTGTTTCATCAATAACACAATAATCAGTATTTGGTTATTTTGTGCTGTTTATCATTCACTGTAATCAATGAAGAAAAAGTATTCCTGCAATGTAACAACCCACAAACAATTAGGACATCACTAAGCAGTTGGACTGTAGAAGATGCAGATGAGCATTTTGTTTTGGGAGGAAAAAGGAATGAACCTCTTAGTGCTTGCTTTTATCCTTTCCTAAATTAAAAAAAATGCTGTAATAAATCCTGATTGTTAGGTTTTACTACCTCCTATACAGCTAATAAAAATACCTTTGCAGTTGGGTGAAGAAAAAAATCTGTATTAATTGTTTGCATGTACAAAAAAGAAAAACTTGTCCTTTGATACATTGGGCAGAAGTGGAATTAAGATGCTAGTATGGGTCATTTTATTTTATTTTTTTTTCCTGTATGTGTATCTTCCCCTCCATTGTTTTTAGGACCTTATGTCCTTTAACCTAAATTTTCTTATATATTACGTGGTATATTAAGACTGATGATTTATAGGTATATGATGAGGATGTACTCCCTATTTATATTGCTCAGTTAGACTCCTTTGTGTTGAACTTTGCTGTAGTGGCCAGAATATAAGCTGTTAGGATAGTCTGTGGGGTTAAGCTTGAATGCTTCAGAAATGCTGAATCACTCCTAAGGAGGGGAGAGTAGTAGAAGTTATGCATGTGTGTGAAAAACGAGGTTAAGCTAGAGAAATACAGTTACGTAAAATGACTTGAAATAAAATTTTATGAAGAGATTTTTAGAGAAAATGAAATTTAGAGTCGTCTTCAGTCATGTAGAAATGAAGAGCTGGCTAATAGAATAGTTGACTGAAGAATCCAAAATTTAAGTAAGTTGCTTTCTTAGCTCTGATCTTTATCTCCTTCTACTTTTGAATTTGGGGAAATGCCTTGAGAAGAGGGCATGTGTGATCTAAAGTGTTGGTAGAATCTCTCTTGTTCATTCTTGTTGTTCCAAGAATGTTTTCTTGCTGTGAGCAGAAATGAATGTTCAGTGTAGTTCTGACTTTGTGAAATGGTCACTTCCAAGGTGGGCAGAGTTGCAGTGTGTGAAGTACTTTCTTTTTCGGCACTAACAGAATATTTTGACTACTCGATGCTTGAAGACTCTCAAGTCTGTACACTTCTGTTTCCTTAAATTAAGGCTGACTTTTCTTCTGAGATTATTTTTAGTGTGAAAT